TAATATAATAATGTAAAACATTAATATTAATGTATTTAATAACATTAATTATTAATTATAACCATAGTTATATCGTATACCAATTTCATAATTATATTTACTAATGGCTATTGATTTTATATAGTTTTTCTTAACCATATTTCAAAAACTTTCTAATCCTACTTAAGCGATTTTTTTTAATGATTTGCTTTGCTTTTTGAAATCAGTATTTTTTTTTAAACTTTTGATTCATTGAAATTATCTTAAAGGTTTTCCTATAGAGTTGTTGGTGTTATAGTAGCAGTTGATTTTCTAATATTTAAAGCAAAAATTCAGACATAATTAATAAAATGAAAACAGTTTAAGTGTATAGTTCGCTGCATTTTGACAAATGCATATATTTTTATACCTGCTACACATTAAGCCTTTGTAGTCAATCCCCATTCTGTCATCTCCAGCACCAGCAAACCACAGATCTACTCTTAAATATTGTATGAATGGAATCACAGTGTATATACTGTCTTGTGAATGTCTTCTCTATGTCCACCTAATGCTAATGAGATTCATCTACGCAGTTGCAGCATTTGTAGTTCATTCTTTTTCAATACGAAGCATTATTCCACAATCTCCTTATTAAGTCTCCTGCTTATGAACTTTAGGGTTATTTTCTGTCTTGGGGTATTTTGCATAAAACTGCTGGGCAGCATCTTGTTCAAGTCCTTTTGTAGAATTACATGACTGTAGCACAGGCATTTGTTAATCCTTACAAGAAATGGTTTAATCTTTCAAAAGTAATTATACCACTTTATACTCCCACAAGCAATGTATGAAGGTTCCAGTTGCTCTACTTCCTAGCCAATACTTGGGATTGACAGTTGTCTTAATTTTAGGCATTCAAATGGTGGTACAGGTTGCTCTGTAAGTACACTAGGGGAGCATCCAATTTAGACTTGATGAGGTCGAGTAAAAATTTTTAGAGAAAAGAAAACGTAATAAGAACACTCAAACTGAAAGAAAACAATCTATTACTGTGTGATCCTTAAGTAGCTATAGTGAATAGCTATTTAAAAAATTTTGTTAAACTTGTTTTACTACTATTTTGATTATGAGTTTGCAGATTGGGTCTTTTGATTGTGTCACCGTGTGTTTTTTAGTGTGTCTATGTATGTTTATGTGAGCGTTTAGGCTTATGATAACCTCAAAAGTGTATTTGATAACTTTCAATATTTTTCCAGAAACATTCCTCCTTTAATATTACAAGCTTGTAGAACTTTACCTTTTGACTAAAGGTGAATATTAATATAATTATTTTAATAATAAAACATTATAAAATGACATAATATATTATATATAATACATAATAAACATATAATATATATTATATAATATATATCATATATTAATAGATAATATATAATATGTAATAAATAAATATATAATATATAATATATAATATATATAATATATAATAAATTATAATATGATAAATAAATATATAATATATTGTATATAATATATATACTATATAATGCTCATATAATAAACATTTATAACAAATAAACATAAGTAAAATGCCATTTTATTATTTAAATATCTTATTAGTTTAAATACTATATTTAAATACCAACATTTCAATATAATATTTAATATTATTTAAAAATAATAATTGAAGTACGTAAAATTAGGCAAAATAACAATTGTAGTAGTAGAAGGGCTTCAGTTTTCATTGATTTAAGAGATAAAATCTAGAACCCTTCTCTATAAAATGTAGATGGAATCCACCATCCTAAGACTTAAGCTCAAGTAAGCTGTCAGTCACCAGTATAAAAAAATGCTACTATGTATCGTGTTGTAGAATCTATGGCATACTTTATAGCAGCTTCAAACCTGTATTCATTTCAGGTTTTTATACTACAGCCCCAAGCCTCTTAAGGGAAAATTTTGTGACCCCATTATTTTCTACTCCCAAAGGATATTTGCTAAAATGATGATGATGATGATGATGAGGATGATGATCTGAACTTAATAGCTTTAGACTGACTTAATCTAAAAGTATTTCATAGCATTATTTTACTAATTTGGTCAGGGCAAATTTTCATTTTGTTTCCCAGAAGTCTTCAGCAATTCAGAATCTAAGATAGACTGTTGCCCAGATATGTTGTAGTCAAGGCTGATGTAAATCTTTATAACATCTGATTGGATGCAGTTAAATATAAGCTTCCCCCAGATCCTAAAAGATCATTTTAGTAAACACTGTAACTTTGGTGTCAACAGATCTACTTATGCAATTGAAGAGAGCAAATTTTACTTTCATGTTCTCTCTCCTCAGTTGGGTGAATAATCAAATTTGTGGTATAGGGGATGAAAAGACTACTTTCAATCTAGTCTAAAGGAACTCTGCTCTAAAAGTTAAAAAAGCAGCATAAAATACATTAAGGGTTGATTATCATTCACTCAATAAAGTTGATGTATAATTAGCAATCTACCTGAAATTTCCCATAGGCATATTCTATGTGTTGCTGTTAGCAATATAAAAGTGTTACAATAAAGGATACCAAAAAAAAAAAAAATGTTCTTCCTTCTTTTAGGCATCTTCCCCTGGAGAAATAGTCCAATGAGAAGTAATCTCTGTAGCCCAGGTTTCCTAAGGAGAAGCTTCAGGAGAGTCCTTATCAATCCTGATTGATATCAGACTTTTCTATTCAAGTTAGTTTCATTTAAGAGAAGTTTTAAATTTGAAAGTTCAGAAGACTATTAAAATTGTTTTTAGCTATCTAAGATACACACACACACGGTAGAGATAAAAATGTTAGACAATCCATCTCAATGTTGTGAAATAAGTAGTAAACTTACTAAAAATGCCAAATTATCCCAGAAGTTACTTTTTAAACATTTGATCAAAAGCTCTACCCAGCCAATTTTTGCTTCTTTAGAAACACTCTACTGAAAAGCAAAAGTAGAAATGGGGCTGATACCTTCAATATAGAGAATTGCAAATAAAATTAGATCCCAGAAGGCTTGGTGTGGCTTTCTAGGACTCTCACTATTAGGCAGTAATCTACCATTTACCTGTTTCCCAGATTCATCTTGTTATGCCTTATAACTAAAAATATAAAATCCAACAATGTATTGTACTCCAAAAATTCACTTCTCAACTTCTTTGATTTGTTTCTAGAATCTAAACTTATAGTAAATTGTAAATTAACACAATAGTAAATTGTGAGTCAACTATGATAGCAGTATGTGCAAACAATAAGTGAAATCAGTTGTATTAATTCTAAGAGGAAAGAGGTGTCAGGATGTTTTCACAGAAGAAAGGCACTAAATCTGGTATTTGAAAGATGAGTAGATTTTTCCTGCCAGGAGCAATAAAAATGAGAGTTGAAAATAATTTCATGAAGCAAAATATTCAAAGAAAATGAAGAATGAATAAAGACAATTGAATTGGTAATTCATAAGGCAAGCTTCAGTAACTGGTAGAAGCTGAATTTTAAGTGTAAAATGAGCAAATTATACTGAATGAAGAAAATTATTTAAAAATTATCAAGAAATAACTAGTCCTAGGGAAGACAGTTTTCATTTTAAGGCATATTAATGTTTGCAGATTGAAGGAAAAGGCACAGTGGAGGATAAGAGACCTTATCAGCAACGGATTAAAATAGTGGAGCATTTTTGTGGCGATGACATGAAATAAGGAGACAGCATTGGAAAGAAGAGAGACATTTGTTCTTCCTAGGTAGAAAGAAAATTGTAGAAAAAGATAAAGAAAGAAAATTGAGAGATAAAGAATAATCACAGGTGTAGTCCTTAACATCCTAAATAAAAATTACTGTTAATGTGTTTCTCCTTGCAGAAAGGAAATTTGTAATAGTTGATCTTTGGCTCAATATCCTTCTATCTCCAGCACCTGGCTTATGGAAGATCTCTCAATACATAATTACAAAATGGATCTATGGAGGTACAATAATTCTTGTTATATGATTCACTGTTCCTGAAGTTGGAGTATATTGGCTCATTTGGGAATAGGGAAATTGGCAGTTAGTTGAGAGGCCATTGGAACACCTGCTGAAAGAAACGTGATAATGATTCAAGGGGTGGGGAAAAAGCAAGTGAGGAATGAACAGAATACCATTAACTTGAAGTGGATGCAGACAGCACATTTTTGAAAATGTTTTAAATAAACAACTTCTCCTTGGAGAGCAGATGCAATTACAGCAGACAGCAGAGATAATAAATACATGTCAGTACAGTCACAGTACTGTGGCTGGAGTGTCAGGGCCTCGATTACTATGGGCAGCAGAAGACATAGATGCCTCTGGCATCCTAGCTGGCAACAAAGAAAAATGAAAGCAGAATTAGGCTTTGAGTTAGATCATAACAGAATAATGGAGGTTGGAATTGATATCATAATTGATACCATAATAGAATAATGGAAGTTGGACAGAAAAATAAACAGGCTTGCTAGGGTTATGGAAGTGGGAGAGGTGAAGCAAATTAAAAAGAACTACTCTTCTCGTAAGTCCTCATTTTCAAGGAAGGGAAGTGTCAGCATTTGAAATTGTAGAAAATTAGAAAACAAATGTGATGATTTTAATCAGGATTATATTTATGCTGGTGGGTAACAAATAAAATGAGAAGATCTTGGCTTCACAGGAGTTGAGGGACTCTGAGCCAGAGTACTAAAAGGGTCATCTATGTAAATGATGGTGTTCATAATAGGATTGGAGTGGAGAAAAATTATGAAGCAAGTTTTCAGAAAATGAGAATGTTAGGAGGTTATATGTTGATGGCTTTAGAGATAGGGAGAATTTATGTTACAATAAACATTATTAAAAAGTGGACAATGGAAGAAAAGTTGCCTGAAATTCACAGCTGTGAGTAAGTAGTCTTTAACACGTAGGTGGAAAAAGGGCCTTTTCCTTACCTAGGAGGAAAAACGGCCTCCATCAAAATGGTAGTGAGAATTTTATGTATCAGAAACAACACACCTTGTTTTCTCTTTTCTTTTTTTTCTTTTTCTTAACCCTGCCTAAGTAGGACATCAAAAAATTTGGCTACAAACTCATAATTGTTCCTCTCCACAGAAATCTTTAGCAAAAGGCGAAAGATTTATTCATTATGAAGATCAACCAGAGTGTGACAACACACTTTTCAATGCAGATGAGCAAAATATTCTCACACAAAATGTGGTCAAGAGTATTAGAACTTATTTTTTCTAATTGAATACATAATAATATTAACACACATTCTCTGTAAATATTTACGTTGATCATAGAAGAGGTAATCAAAATACATAATACTGACAATTGAATTGAAATTAATATATTTTTCTAAAAAAATCACATTATATGTAATGAACCAATATTGGCTAGGTGAAAATTGTCTAGGTTTTACAACTAGAAATGCTTCCTCTCAAACACTTATCAAAATGACAGGTGTATTTTTGGCTGCAACATTTACCAAATGAAAACAGAATACTGACATTCATACACAAAAACATGAAAGCATATGTTGAAATTTTCTTTCCAGATATCTACAAAAGAGAAAAGATAACATGAGGTTCATTATCTGTTTCAAATTGCCCCTGAGATTCCTTGAGCTGAAGACAAATATTCTATTAAAAAGAGTCTTTAAAAAGGGCATAAGAAACCTAATCTTTTCATAAGGAGTGTGGTTAAATTTGATAACAGTTATTATCAAAATGAATTATTTCTACTTCTAAATTAGTACTGATTGTATCTTAAGGTTTTTGTTTCTTTGATACCAGTATGTACAATTATTTCAGAAAGCATGATTAGTTTTGGTGTCTGTAAATCTTTGCTGCCAATGAATTAAAGTATTTTTGAAAAATGAATATATATTCCTTGAAAGTGATCTATACTTTACTTAAAATTACCTCTTTGGGTAAATATAGGACAACAGCTCTAACATTAAAATATGTGCATCAATTGGATCTAGAGTATTGCATGAGGTTTAAACATTAAAAAAGTATTTATAACATTTGAAGAAACAAAAATAATAAGAAAATGTAAAACCAAAATATAAAAAAAAGTAATATTCCTCATCAGAAAATAAGATAAAAATGCAAGCAACTGTGGTACTACCAAAGTGATTTTTTAAAAATATATATTTTTGTTCATTGGTTGTCTTGTTCAATTCCGTTAAACATAATCCAACAAGATAAGACTCCACATAGAGCTTTTAAAGTTATCATGTGTTGTGTGTACTGCTTTAATTGTCCATAGTTTCTGGTTTTTCTACTAGAATTCTAACAAACTAAATGTTGTATGGTATGTTTTTCTAGCATTATTTCTGGAAAATTAGAACAGTGACTAATAAAATTACTCTTTTACTTTTCATAGATTTAACTGAATTTTAAAGTCAAATATGGACTAATTTTATCCATATGCTGAGATTGCTATTTGGAATTTTTTACAGTATCTTCTTTAAAATTCTTGCTCAATAAGTCTAACATTTGTATCATCTTAGTGTTATAGTCTGTTTATTTATGTTCATCTATATGAGAATGGAGGCAGGAAGACAGAGCTTGGAATATTATCTACAAACAATTAATGTGCTATATTGGTGTGGTACGTGGGTCAAAATGGAAGAAACAGAGGAAATCATGACGGCTTATGTCATCATGACGGCACAGAGTTCTTAAGGAGGTGTCTATACCAAAGACAGGATGGGATATCATTCCGTTTTTTAATTTAGGATTAATCATTGGAATAGTTAGAATGTTAATGTCCCCACCCAAATGTACACGTTGAAACCGAATTCCTAAATGTGATGAGGTTTAGGGAGGTGATTGGGTTATAGGGTAGCAACAATCATGAATGGTATCAGTGCCTATATATGGGGCTAAAGATACCAGAGTTTTTCCCTCCTACGCTGTCAGGAGACAGCGAGAAGCTGGCTGTCTGCAACCAGGAAGAAGGCCTTCACCAAAACCCAACCATGCTGGCATTCTAATCTTGAACTTCCAGCCTCCAGAACTGAGACAAATAAATTTCTATTATTTATAGGTCATCTAGCCTATGGCATTTTGTCATAGCAATCCAAACTGACTGAAACAACCAGAAAGGCAGAAAATGCTAGTCTTCTTCTACTAAATGATCAGAGAGAACTGAGTAAGTGATGAAAAATGTGAGAGACACTGTTAGCTGTCTCTAAATTTCACTACTCCCTTCCTGTATCTATATGTAGAGCTAAAATTTGTTATTACTGTGATATAATAACAAATGTTATTTGTTATTATAGTAATAACAAATTTGTTATTACTGTGATATAATAACAAATGTTATTTGTTATTATAGTGATAACAAATTTTTCTAAACCCTCTTTACACCCGGACATGGCCAAGTGACTAACACTTGCATTAGAATATGGGTAATTGTTATGCATCTGCATTCCAGAAGATGCCCTTAGATGGGGTGTGCCATCCTTTTTTCCTCTTTCTCTTCTTACTTCTTCGTATTGAACCCTGAAGGGGCAGTACAGCATCTTGGGACGTAGTAGCGTCACCATATAGACGAGTAGAGAAAACTTTTGACTTTGCAGAGTGGGACTGTATTGACTGCTTGAAATTTTACAAAAACGGAGAAAAAATAAATTTCCATCATGTTAGTTCCGCTTTTATATTTGGGATCATCTCATGCTTAAACTCACAGCCTAACTTACGCAGAAAGGAAAAGAGCATGGTGAAGTGTAATATTTCTTGTAGTTTCAGCCTAGCCTGTCTATATGAGCAGTTGCTAAGTCTATTGAATCATTTCATACCAAGTCACAGAAAAAAAAAAAGTGTTTTTTAATTGTTGTGTGACAGTGGGGAGAGGTGATAAGGGGGGCATGTCACTTACTAACTCTTTGCATGTTTTACAAGTATTTAAAAAATGTGTCCACTTTTTTGATCCAACAGTGTTTTTGAAGGAGAGTTAAATAATCAATATTTGAAATTCATCATTTCTTCTTTCTTGAGCATTTTATGATGCAACTCTAATCATTTGCAAAATGGCTAAATGTGAGTGAGCTGATACAAAGGCTGATCTTTTCTTCAACTGGGTAAGTGGTGATCCTAAGATGATCAATATGTGTCAACACAGCCACTTCAAGCAAATTATTTATATTGATAAAAAGCTCAGACCTTAACCCAGCTTGAACTCTTAAGTATTATAGAAATAATAAATCAAAAAATTCATCATTTAATGCATTTCTTAGCAAATAAAGGAAACTATTTTCTTTAATGCGTCTACTGAGTAAAATCCCACAGGAAACTACATATGACCTTGACACGTGATATCTGTTTATGGTAATAAGAATGTAATAAATTAAAATCTGATGTGACTACATTTATGTTTCTATACATTTATGAAATAAACTCTAGCCAAAATCTAAATTTAAAAACCACATTTCTAAAGTTAGATTTTTTAGTATTAAGTGTTTTAATGATAGAATAAAGCTTCAATCACTTTGATTTTTAACTGAGTGTGAAAATTTAACCTGATAAATTTATATTGGAATGAATTATTTATACCCAGGGGGATCATACTCACACTTAAAAAAGTTTTACTGTAATGTGGAATTACTTATTATTCTCTCTGAAATATGTAATCAGCATATTTGGCATGTATCAAAGTTATGTTTAATAAAGAAAATGCATGTTTGTATATATGCTGCTGTGAATACAAATTGCCTCAAAACTTACTGGCTTAAGACAACGTCTCTTTTTTTTGTTAATGTTCCATTGGGTCAGGAACATAAGAAGTAATCAGCTGGACAGCTGCATCCTGTAGCATCTCTTCCTTTGCTTCACTGGAAGGTATAAAAAGTTTACTCACGTCTGGAGTTGGAGCCTATGTTCTCCTTCCTGTGTTCTATTCCTCGCCATCTGGGAACATTGGGCTTCCTCACAAAATGGTGGTCACCTGTATTTCTTAAATGACATCTGTCTTCCAAAAGGAGTGTACCAACATAGGTGACACAAGAAGCTGCAAGTATCTTTAAGCCCAAACTTGGGAGATATACAACACCACTTGTGATCATTATATTGGTCAAAGTCAGCCTTCGGGCCTGCTCGCATTCAAGGGGAATAGAAACCCCTCATCTCAATGAAAAGGGGCAAATAATTCGTGGCCATCTTTAATCCATTATGTTGTTTAGGCCATATTTCTGATATGAAGTTAAACATAAGAAGAAGTTACATATATTCATAAATTAGAAAATGGAGAAGAAAAAGAACTTTCATTATAAAATTATCCTGCCAGTTTCTAGGCTCCTTTAAAAACCATTGTCTATGAATAATATGAAAGTTTCAGAAAGCTGCTACTAGAATTTGAAGAGAATCTCTAAGTATATGCTTTAAATAGTATATTTTTACCAAATGTCTTAAAAAGTGACAAGAGTGAGAAAGTTTATTGAACTAAGAGAAAAAGAAAAGCCTTAAAATAGATTGCCCAGTTTCTTCATTCATGCGATTATTTTTTCATTTATTCATTCATCCAACAAATATTTCTTGATATCCCATTGTGAGCCCAGGGATTTTGTTAGGCAAGAAGGCTGTAACAATAAAGAGAAAAATATTGTTTTCTTTTCTTCACTGTGCTTACAACTTAATGTTACAAATTACTCCAACGCTTAAGATTATTCAGCTGAAGTTTTCGATAATGTAAACCAGCAAAATTCTTTGTATAATCTGTAAATGAATTTTATCTGAAAACTATTACATAAAACAATAAAATACAAATTGCTGGATGCATTCAGTTATTCAATCAAATAGGCATAATTGAAGGTTTTGTTATATCCCTAGTCCATCCTAAATCTTTAGGCCAATGCGTAAACCGTGTTTTAACAAAAACAGATGCCTCCCAGCACACAGGACAGCTACAGCTGCTCCATAGCTCCACATGGGACCATCTTCTCTTTGCTTACCAGCCCATCCCCAGTTCCAAGAAAACATGAGCTTCTTAAAACAAAGTTGAAAATCTAGTGGCTTGCGAGTCAGCTGGCAGTGTTTCTGCATTTTTAAGCAGGCTTGGATACTGGGGGAAGCTTAGTGTTCACTCTGTAGCTGACCTCTCCGAGCCAAGTTCAGCGTGGTGTGAGTTATCAAACCTGACAGCCTTTTGGCAAGTCTTTG